ATCTGGTCTTCAACTTTCGATTTTTTTTAAAAAAAAAAAACATGTTTTTATCAAATTGAGATACTGTGACACAAGCTTCCAACAGTCCCTTTATTCTCAAAGAAACTTCAAAATAAGGGTGAATTAAAGCATACGAAGAAGAGTGAAACAAAATTCCTAACATAAAAAAACTAATTTATTATCAATTCTTATCAATGGCACAACAAGAAGGGGGATTACTTCTTGTTGATTTGGGTGTCATTTTTCCCCCTAATGATCAAATCCACATGATAATAATAACAATCTCCCTGGCTCTTGTAACAAACTCTCCCACTAACCCTCTCCTGGCTGTTGTGATGTTCTCTCTTTTCTCTTTTTTTTCTAACTTGAGTCAGGAATAGAAAGTAATTAGACCGCCATGAGTCCCAGCTGGGGTTCAAAGTGGAGCGTGGAAAAGCAGCCGCTTTCTTTGCCAGCCATCAAAGCCAATCTCTGCCTCTACACACACTTTTCTTTTATATATTTATTTTCTGCCATGTTTTTTAATGAAACTTCTCAGAGAATAATGAAGCAAGTTGGAAAATGTCTCGTCTCTCAGTGGTGACTGGAAGATGAAAGCTTTGAAGGCAACTTTAAAAAGAAAAGAGAAAGTTTGACCCAAACTGAAATAAGTTTTTTGTTGTTGTTGTTGTTGTTGTTTTGTTTGTTTGTTTGCGTCACTTTTGAAGCGTTACCTCCGGCAGGTCTCGCCGCCTCGGTCCACAGACTCTCCAGGCCGTCGTCTCTGGGCATCATGTTGAGCGGTCCGATTTCAGGTAGAAGGAGATCTGAAGACGAGGATTTCGTTGGTGCATCGTGACCCCTCGCTGAAGGATGTGTGGAAGTCCGAGGAGTGACCAGCAACAACGGAGGGACGGGACTAAAGGAGACCGGTTTGGGGGACCAGAAGGGAGCGTTTGGAGAAGACTGCATGGTCGCTTCGAAGTATCCATCCTGTCCAGAATCAAAAGCGGACGACTTGGTCGCGTCTGTTCCGCCCTGTTTGCTCTTTTGGCTGTAGGAAGAGTCCGTCTGTGGCGCAATGGAGGCCCAGAAACTACCTGAAGTCCGTGTGTGGGTGTTCATGTCGGTGTCCACCTGTTGTCTCCCATCTGTTGGACCCACAGGCTTGTCCTCCTTTACAAAATCTACATCTTCCCCCTCAGGTTCGCTCTCGGTCTCCTTTCGACCAGCCTTGCTCAACCCAAATCTTCCACGAGCGCTGACCCCGTTTCTCGCCTGCGTCACTGGACCTATCCCCTCCGGCCCTCCATGTGGGCCAGTCCCTCCTCCTGCGCCTACATCCAGCATGAAGCTGGTAACGCGCTCTTTCTCCAAGGGGGCAGACTCTGTGGTGTGCGCCACCCGGTCCGTTGCGCAGTGCTCTTCGCAGGAGCTGCCTTGCATCCGGCTGAAGCCGGGGACGAGCGTGGGGGCCCCGCAGACGTAGAGGCAGGCCTCTGCCAGGAGGAGCGCCCGGAGAATGGAGGACATCATCTTCTCTGTGTCTTCTCAGCGCCTGTTGACAGACAGCAGTGAATTAATAAATGCTAGCAGGCTTGAAGAGAGGTGGGAGGAACGGCTGTCTGCTGGTCGTTGGTGGTGTTACTAGGCAGACATGTGGCTCCAGCACAAACCAGGGATGACGAGGCATAACATGTTAGGGAGTTAGGACGCAGAATAAACTTCATTCGAAGGCTCTTTAACAGAAGAATAAAAACAAACAGGATTGAATTGCTTTACGACTCAGTTAGGCCTTGAATGAGTCTTCTTTTTTATGCAAATCCAACCAGTGGGGAAGTTAACCTGCATGTGTCGTCAAGGTGAATACATACCTGTCGCCTTTTCACCCGTTTTGAGGTGACACCATTTTACCTGATTTCTTTGCGTCTACATTCACCATAATAAAGTACTTTTGCTTCAAAATCGCTAAGCTCGAAAATATTGATTTGTTTATATATTTGATAAAGGGATTTGGTTCTCCGTTCTCTTAATTAGACTAAAGACTGCAATAGTAAATGTCAGTGTCATCACAACTCTTTTCAAAAAAGCACAAGAAGTACAGTCAAGCTAATTTTATATATATATATAGAGAGAGAGTAGTAGTAGTTCTCAGTAGTTGTGATTAGTTAGAAAATGCTGATTTTTTTGTGCGCGATGAGGTAGAAATCTTAATTTTATTTTTTATTTTTTTCTTCTTTTTTTGTGAGGCTGCAGATTCATGGCTTCGCCCAGGTTGTGTCGGTGGGTGTGAATGAGTGAGAAAACAGGGTGAAAATATAAGAAAATAAGAAGGAGGAAGAGGAAGAAGAAGAGGGAAAGTGGCAAACAGATGGAGAAAACGAGAGGAAATCTGACACAGCAATCCTCAGCCCCGCTTCACTTCTGCTATAAATAGCACCAGGTTTCCTCTCCTTTAGGACCCACTTAAGATTCTTCGATGCAGATCGTTGCAATATATATGTAAAAGAAATACACCCTATACCAAATGCAAACGCTAACCCTGCATGATTTGTGCAATAACAACAGAACAGGTTGACACCCATTTTTGCTGTCTAAGGCAAGAGGAGAAAACATATACATATATATATGTCACCCCCATTCGATGCAGCATAAGATCAATGCTTCAATCAAACCCACTTACTTTCCATGCCCTTGCAATCGATTCGATCAATATAATCGATCGGCCCTGTCAGTGTGCGCGTGCAGACCACCTCCCACCACCTGACAACATGACCACGCCAGCATCTGGACTGTAAACAAATTCCCCACTGCGGTACTGAGTCACATTTCTCCAGTGTGACAGCTCAGAATCGGTCCCCCCCCACATACCCCCCCTCCCCTGAGACCGCAACACCCTCAACATCGCGACTTGCGTGTCGAGAGTCTCATGCAGGGCTAAAAATAAAACCAGAATACCTTTCAGAGCTCATGGTGGGTCTTCTTGCGCATGGACGCCGCCGAGGCTTCAGTGTGTAGGAGAATGCCAAATTGATGCTGCGTTACCAAACAGGGGCTGAATTCAGTGTGGTAGGGTAGAAACCAAGCTGGAGAGAGGCAGACTGTCTCTGTCCGTCTGTCTCTCGAGTGCTGCTGCCACTAAATGCTTTCAACCTGCGAGGGGGGGATCCGCGTCTTTGATTTTCTTTTCTTAATTCTTCGAGAGCACATCTCCCTTATTTTGTGATCATCCTTCGATACGCCCGTCAGGCGGACTGTGGTGCTGAACGGACAGCTCCTCCACCTCAAATTCCAGGTGGTGGTGGCAGCATCACGCTGCGGGGGATTGACCTATCAACAGGGATGTTGAGCGTTGCGGAGAAGATGGGTGGAGCTAAATACAGGGGCAACCGTGGAACAAAGCTTAGCTTAGCAACATGTAAAACACTTTGGACAGCCGCTCCAAACATGAAATCAGAGCAGCGCATGGGACGATATATATGACCTTGAATCGTAGTAAAACATAGATGTTTGTGGTTGACAAAATGTGTAAAAAAAAAAAAGCCAAAGCTATTCTATAGCTAACATTCTTTTTTAGTCATTTCGTTGGACCTGACTGTAAGCTGACAAATAGATTATAATATATTATGATTTTATGCATATTATGGCACATGCAATCAATTTGCTCAAATATTTGAGTTATTATCCAAAGTTCAATATTAGGGGGTCAGATAAAATTAAGTTTTATTTATTCATTTTGTTAATAAATAAAACTTGCTTTGGCAGCTGTTAAATGATAATAGGTAGTTGTGTTTGTGTCTGTGTCTGAAAGAGGTCAGCTCTAACCAGGACACTAAACAGGTGACGTAGCAAAATAAGTCAACATGTTTGAAGGGGTGGAGCTGTTTCTCCTGATCCCAGGATTACATCTTAATTACATCTCTAAATCAGTTTTCATGGAAATAATAGTTATCAGGAAAAAGGAATCAATAGTACTTCCTTTTTTTTTTTTGACAGATTGTAGAAGAGGAACGTTGCCAAGACAACAGATGCGTTTCAGTGCTTCATGAAAACTAGAGATTTATCGTGTAGGATTTGCTTTTTAAGTTGAAATCTGTAATAGATTCTCTATTTTTTTAGATGTCACTTTATGACATCTAAAAAAACCCAATGCTATTGTAAAGTGACATTACCGGACATAAAATGTTCCCTGACTCGTGCCTGTTAGAGAGTTTCTGTCTCCCAGTTAGGCTTTTTCCTGCAATCCCTCCGGTCTGTGAAGAGGCAGCCCAGGCTAAGAGGAAGACAACTAGTTTTTTATTATGCGATGTTAAGCCGTGACTGCTAGACGTTAATAGCTAAAACCATTTCCTGAATTAAAATAGTAAAATGCCAATATTTGATGGGTTGGGAAGTGGAGGAGAGAAGACTGCCATTGTGATTGATTTGGGAGCAGCATACACAAAGTGAGTATGCGTTGTTAGCAAAACAGGCTACCGCCACCAGGTTAGCATGCTAATATGTAGCTTTTTTCGCCCGTATCGTTGATTCTCTCGTTTTTGCGATGTGTCAAAGATAAGCTGAATTTAAAAGTTTGTGGCTAATAATGGAACTGGGTCGTGCATATTCAAGTTACAGGGTAAAGAGTTCTTCTGATATGCTAAGCCTATTAGCTAATGCTAACGTAGCTGTAGCTGACAACTTTAGCTACAGCTAGGTGGAATTATAAGTAAGCAGAAAACAAAACCCTTCAAAATGCTATCAGTTTTGTTTAAATTATATGGAATGTTGGTCGAAACGTTTTTAATTACGTATGTTTTACATATGTAAGCTCCGTAATGTACTGGCAGTTTTTCCAATTAACCTAAGCTAACACAGCGCCCCAAAAATGTTATTCACATATTTATTTAGCAAAGAGACTGACATAAAATCACATGCAGATCAAGTGGGCTGCTCTCTTTTATTATACAATGATTTCCTTTGTGAGTCCAACAACATGGGGCACAGAGACCCAGTGTTAATTTGTTGATGGCAGATACTTTTTAGTGTTCTTGGTATTTTTTTATTAGGTAATGTTCAACTCCCATTTCAATATGTAGTTTTTTTTCACTGGGTGCACACAGTACTTTAAAAATTGTGGAAAAGGGTTACTTCATTATTTTCAATCATGATAATAGTATAATAGGTTAAGGCAGTGAACAAATCTTTCTGAATTGTTGTAGTGTGAGATTATTCTACTGCAATAAAATGTATTTAAAAATTGTTTTATTTACATCTTTGCAATGAGTGGCAGAAGATTTGTGTCACACACCCATATTGAAGTCAAAAGAAGGCTTAGTTGTAAATTTTACAAAATTTCTCATATATATAAACATACATGCCAGCTCTGATGAAATAATTTGTTTTTTGCAGATGCGGCTTTGCAGGGGAAACGGGGCCCAGGTTCATAATTCCGAGCGAGATCCAGAAACCGGGACAACAGCAGGTAACTCTCATGATTTCCTGTAATTAATCAGTGTGTGGGTGGGTTAGCAACATGTGTGTCCTAATGCTGTGTGCTGTCTCATGCAGGCCACCAAAGTGGTCCAGTACAACATCAACACAGAAGAGCTTTATGCCATCCTCAAAGAGTTTATCCACATATTGTACTTCAGGTGACATGCTTTTCCTGCAACGAATGTGCTTATTTCAAAACTGTTGTGTTGTTACAGTAAGCAAACACCATAGATGATTCCCAGCAGCAATGATGCGTTGTAACTGAGTAATGCAGCCTCATCAAATTAGAATCTGTCCCCCATCAGGCACCTGTTGGTGAACCCTCGCGACCGAAGAGTGGTGATCATCGAGTCCATCCTCTGCCCATCCCATTTCAGGGAGACGCTCACCAAGGTCTTCTTCAGACAGTTTGAGGTACCACAAAAGACAACGATTGTTGTTACAAATGCTTAGTGTAACAGTTAAGATTGCAAATGTGATTGTTCAGTCTCTCTGCTTCACAAAGCTCACTGATAATAATGAATGGAGTGAAAACATATCTGATGCTTCTGAGTTGCAGCCATTTGGACTTGGGTTTAACTCTTTGGCCCAACAGTTAACTTTTTGTTTCGTTTTTAATCCAGGTGCCCTCTGTGCTGTTCGCTCCCAGTCACCTGATGGCCGTCATGACTTTAGGCATCAACTCTGCTCTGGTGATGGATTGTGGGTACACAGAGACTCTCGTGCTGCCTGTATCCTTTTATTTATTTTTGGTGTTATTGAATAATCCAAAACAACAAACGGCAAGACTGTAAAGTGATTTTTATGCAGATTGTCTAAAGGGAAACAATGAGATTTTTGATATTTGTTAAGAGATTGTTAGTAATCTTGTCGCAATAAGGATTAGTCAGTCAATCACGTGTTAAATTAAAATGAGCTCAGAAATTTCCATTCTGAGGATTAATTGTTTTTTAAGGTTAATTTTGCTTACAGAGACATTTTATTCATTGTTTCTGGTTGTGTTTTATTTTGGATATTTAAAACACCTCCCAGTTACTGTGTTGAGTTTTTTTTTTTTCATAAAGTTAAAGTTTAGCTGTTTTTGAGAGAGCAAACTTGCATTGTTATGCCGTTATCAATATAATACTTGAAGTAAGTAGTTGTTACAGTAGTAACAAATCAACAATATTATCGTTTATCGCCATAAGTACAATAAACGATAACATTATCGATTATCGTCCAGAAAAATGTATCATGTCAGTAGATCATAAATCCAGTTTAGTTTTACACTTTGACAATTTAATTTTATGAAATAGCATTTACTTGTAACATTAAACAATACTCTACTTGCATTTTGCCTTTCAGCGGCATTTTCATTGTAAGCATGAAGGCTGGGATTAATTTCTTTTCTCTGTTTCTTTTGTGAATAAGGTTGTACTGTTCTCTGTTTCTCTAAAGCGATAACCAAGATTTACTAGTGGCGCTTCCCTGAGAACAACCTTAACTTTGCTGCATTAGATTTACGAGTGTACTCCGATCCTCCCGGCCTGGGAGGCTCTGCCTCTCGGAGGGAAAGCCATTCATAAGTCAGTACCTCATTGTCTGTTAATATTTTATTTTGCACTTACTTAACTGTGGCGGTTTTGCCTGTCAGGGTTAATTTAAAATGGCACTGTTTGTTGATTCCATTGTGTTTTCTTATTGCAGAGAACTGAACGGGTTTCTCGTGGAGCAGTGCACCGTGGACACAGACACCACCACCGGGCAGAGCGTACCGGCCGTCATCGGTAACGACAGGCAGCTTAGACTAAAAATTACTGCGACCCATAATGCATCATTCACTATTCATACAAAGGGCTTGTTTCCGCTCAGCGTTCCCGTTGAATCCCTTTCTCTGTTTTTAAATTATGCATTCACAAAGTTTGTGTTAGCGTTTCCTCTTCAGTTTTTCTTAGCAAAGGTAACCAAACTGTATTGTTCAAATCGATGATAATTAAAAAAAACAACAACAAAAAACAAAAAAACAAATGTAGCATGTTAAATAGATCTCTAATAAATGTATTGGTCCTTTTTTAATTATAAAAATAAAGACTGACACATTCTCTGAAGTCCATCTGCTACTATTTAGGAAATAGCAGCAGTCCCAGCTGTTCTTGAATCCTAATTAAATACAACACCAAGCAGTTGTAATTAATCTCCACACCAGTGTCAGTTTAGATTCACGTCATAGATTTAAATTAGTGATGCGCATTTCTGTCTTTTCCTCAGGAACCATCCCAGAAGAAACAGTGGAGGACATAAAGGGTGAGTTTAATTGGCACTTTCTACTTTTCCTTAATGAAGATCATTGACCAACTACAGGAGACAAAATATTTCTGCCAAAAAATCAGAATAACTCAACATCGAGGCATTGTTACTGCTGTAATTCTATCACTGGGTGGTTAATATAGATCATATTGGTGTTAGCAGTATGTTTCTGCTTAATTCTCTTCACATATTCTGCTAATAGATGACCTAACCTGTCTGCAAGTTACACCTCAGTTCAGAAGTCTGCGTAGATTGTTGATGTTCACAGAAGTAGTGTGTTGATTTTCGTTTGCTGCTTTGTTTCTTGCAGCCAGAACATGTTTCGTCAGCGACTTGCAGAGAGGCCTCAAGATCCAGGAGGCCAAATTTAACCTGGACGGTACGGCCGAGGTAAGAGGAGTGTTTGCTGCGCTGCTTTCATTTTACCGTTTTGGTTCCTCAGAAAGTTTGGATCCAAAAAAACGACCAAAACTAAAAGGGCCCTAAATGTCATGAGGTTGTACTGAAATCTGTGTAACTTGTGTGTCTTTGCAGCGTCCAGCTCCTCCTCCGGATGTCGACTATCCTCTGGATGGAGAGAAAATCCTGCATGTTCAAGGATCCATTAGGTAATCTGAAGATCTTTTCATCTGCTTTTGGTTTTTGCCGTTTTAGAACAACTTAAGCAAGTTCTTGTGGCATTTCTCACTGAAGAACATGTAAATTACTGTCTGGACCGAGTCGTTTTAGAGATGCAAAACTTTCAGTGTCTAACGATTTGATCCTGATTTTTAGGATCACGATTCGATTCAGAAGCAATTTTTTAATTCAGAAACTAATATTTTATATTTAGTCTAGAAATTATGGTTAAATTATGTGACTGACAAGAGGAAAAGACTGCAAATAAATGTAACATTTATTTAAAACAATTATGAAAAGTTCCATTAGTTTATTTTTAAACAAAAATAGGTTTGTACATAAAATTCTGCAACTTAAATTGCCAGTAATAGGTTGGCTTGGCTGGCTGGCTTTTCCTTAAATTAGAAAAAGATATCAAAGAATTATTAAAAAACAAAACAAAGCAAGCTAAAATCGGGTTTTGAGTGTTTTCAATTGATTCAGAATTCCCAGGACTAGAAATTATTTTTTATAGAATCCATTTTTTCCTGCACCTCTGTTTTGTTAAAGGAGTTATTTTGTCCGATCTTGCAGGGACTCAGTGATGGAGATCCTGTTTGAGCAGGACAACGAGGAGAAAAGTGTGGCGACTCTGATCCTCGACGCTCTAGTGAAGGTACGCTGTCATTTAATAAGTGTAGTGTATCAAACAGATGTAGTTTTTATTTGTATTCATCTATAACCTGTGGAAATCTTTTTTGTTTTGTTTTGTTTTGTTCTCAGTGCCCCATTGACACGCGTAAAGTGCTTTCCGAGAACCTGGTGGTGATCGGAGGCACGGCCATGCTTCCCGGCTTCCTGCACCGCCTGCTGGCTGAGATACGCCTCCTGGTGGAGAAACCCAAGTACAGCAACGTTCTGGCTAGCAAGAACTTCCGCATCCACTCCCCACCGGCGAAGCCCAACTGCACCGCCTGGCTCGGAGGTACAAAAAAAGCATTTTCAGTGTTATTTCCTGCTGACTCTCTGAGTTAGCAGATTGGAAAAAAAATATGGCTGTGTGGGATAAAATATTTCTTCAAAATCAGCACTTAGAGGAGAAACAATTCAGTCAGCTATTTTTCGGAGCTTCAAATGAGTTCTTTTCAACATCTGTTGTTCCCTCTCTAAACTTTTGTTTTGAATTTCTCCTGATCCCTCTAGGCGCCATCTTTGGGGCCCTTCAGGACATTCTGGGCAGCAGGTCGGTGTCCCGGGATTACTACAACCAGACCGGACGCATCCCGGACTGGTGCTGCTTGAGCTCCCCGCCTCCTGAGTCCTTCTACGAGGCGGGGAAGACCCCCCCTCCACTCATGAAGAGAGCGTACTCCATGGAGAAGTGAAACATAGCCAGATAGTTTTTCACTGAACAGTTCGGTAATCTTTAATTTAACATCGCGACACTTTGTCAGACTGATGTGTTGACTTCTCACAGATTTTTGAATGTCGACTAGGTAAGACTTTAAACGCTAATTTGTGTTGTCCTGGTTTGCATGTGTGTTATCTATAAATTCCCACCATGATGAATGAAATCTCTTCACGTAAACAGTAAATGTAGCAACAATCCCTTATTGATTTGCAGTTGCACATACTATTAATAATTAGATGAACACAGGCCTGAGACATCAAATGCAGACATGCCATCAGTCACATCGCTGTACGTGTATCTTCACACTTCAGTATTTTTATTGGCAGTGAATCAGAGGAAATTCTGCAGAGGTCAGCAGAAATGTTGAAGAATGACGTCTTATAAGTTATCTGTTTATCACTAAAAGTGTTGCTTATGTAGTCAGACTGTTATGTCCGTTGAAATGAATAAGTTACCCATTACAGTCAAACAATTTTCACTTATTTATTGTTTCTACCTAGCTGTTGGAGGTTTTGGATCGTTTTTACCCATATATTAAAGCAATTCTGGATGGATTATAAGTTAGAGTGTTGACTGAAGGTCAAAAGTTTGCTTTGCACCAACACTATAATTAAAGGTGTAATCCACAATTTATACACATCTCTTGACAAGATGTGTAATTCACTTATGTACTTGGTAATATATTTGTGTGTCTTGTTTTTGGGCTATTCAAAACATTCCTTTGAAAATTTCTCTGTAAACCATCATAACTACAAATAAATGTCCAGAATTGAGTCTGCTTCTCATTGGTTGATCGGTCCCTCATGATGACTCCTTCCACTGAGAGCGCTTCTGAAATAAATATCTCATTGTTTGCATTGTAAGTAGTCTACGTTTGTGTAAAAGTAAGATCTTGGTTCCCCACCATACACCACAAGTTTATACTGTGTCAGTAAATGTCACATATGTTTACCTTTCAAAGTAGACCGAATATGTATTGAACATACAGAGAAAAGAGATAGAAATCCAAGAAACCAGATGAAATCATTGCTGATGCAGTGTGGCAATTAGATCAGCTGGTTTAATATTAAATGATGGATTATAAAAAAAAAAGGTTCCTCATTACCAAAGCATTGCACAACCAGCGACAAACCTCAAAAAGTTTACTGATTGCAATAGTTCCAGATTTTTTTCTAAAGTTCTGAATAGCTGTGTTTTTATGAGAAATGTGCTCAAAACTTTAGTCAATATTCTCCTAATGTAAAAAAAAAACAATTCCGAAATTTAGATGTTTCCTTTAAATAATAAGTGCAATTAAAATCACACTGAATAGGTGTTCAAAAACCACTTCCTGTTGTCTTCTTCATCTTTTCCACCAGTAGTAACAGACGGTTGTTGATCACATGACTTGTGTAACAAAGTGTTTCCATCACTTTTTTTTTTTTTTTTTTTTTTTTTTTTCTCCTTTTTGGGTTTTTCCATTTTCCCTTTTTTGT